TTTTGTTCTGTATTGCATCAGAAATTGATATTTAGATAATTTGGTGAAAGACAAACATGTAAATAGAAATAAATAACAATGATAAAATACTCAAACTATACTGTTTATATACCATTCCACATTTTGCCATGTTACCTTAAATGATCACAGATTAAGAAGGTTTGTAGGATTTATTTTAGTTGCAGTCAAAAATGTTGTACGGTATTAACAGAATGGCACAGGTGTGGATACATTCTGTTTGCAATAGTATTCAAATCATTAAGGCTTATGACTATGGGTGTAATCCTAACCTGGGAACCCATGAAACTCAGACTTCAACAAAAATCCTACATTGATATCAATGAGAGTTTTGTGCCCAATCTGAGTAAAACATGCTTGGATCTCAAATTAGGATTCAGGTCCTTTATCGGCAGATGAATTGAAAAGGGTAAGTTGTCATATTCTGTACTATGTCCCAGTAAAAGTAACCAAATAAAACTGGTTCATTTCAGAAATCCCTTTACATTATTCTCAGTAACAAATAGATTTCTAAAGAGTGGAATGATATGAATGAAGCACACGGTGGTTCAATCCATCCTTGTGCTCGCACACGTAATGTACTGTGTCCAACCCTTATCACCATGCCAAAATTTGTACAAAAACGAACATTTAAGAGGTTAACACATTGTGTCGGACAGTACCGTTAGAAAACACTACAAACACATACTACAAACCAGCTCCAGTAAATCAAACAGTGCATAGATAATGCTGCAATACAATCCCTCCCATTATTACAGTCTGAACACTTTCTGTGGACAATATATTCAAAATTGAATTTGATGCCAGCCAAATAGAGGGAGGTCCGATTTGGAGTTGGGCCGATTGTGCAGCTGTGGTAATTCTTCACTCCAATTATGATTACACTTTAATTGCTCAAATCAAATGGCTTGTATTTCTAGGACGGTAAAGCTATAGACAGTGCAAACAATGAAAAGAAAGTTAAATTCCCTCTCTCAATACGGTGAAACAACCTAAATGGTGGCGCTTTGGATTCCCCAGGTACAGTAGTGGTGCACTATGGGGGAAATCGCTGTTGTCACAAACGTCACAATTGCAAAATCAAGGTGAGACAGTATTCTATACAATAAAGCCAAAACCTGCAAAGTAGGAACATCATCAACTCCACATTGTAAGGGTGCAGTGAGAGGGACTCCTTTTGCAGTGATGGAAAACAAATACTAATTTGCTAATGCATACAAAGAAATGATATACAGTGAGGGAATTAAGTATTTGATCCCCTGCTGATTTTGTATATTTGCCCACTGACAAAGACATGATCAGTCTATAATTTTAATGGTAGGTTTATTTGAACAGTGAGAGACAGAATAACAACAAAATAATCCAGAAAAACGCATGTCAAAAATGTTATAAATTGATTTGCATTTTAATGAGGGAAATAAGTATTTGACCCCCTCCGCAAAACATGACTAGGTTTACACACATCTCAGGAGGGATTTTGTCCCACTCCTCTTTGCATATCTTCTCCAAGTCATTAAGGTTTCGAGGCTGACGTTTGGCAACTCGAACCTTCAGCTCCCTCCACAGATTTTCTATGGGATTAAGGTCTGGAGACTGGCTAGGCCATTCCAGGACCTTAATGTGCTTATTCTTGAGACACTCCTTTGTTGCCTTGGCCGTGTGTTTTGGGTCATTGTCATGCTGGAATACCCATCCACGACCCATTTTCAATGCCCTGGCTGAGGGAAGGAGGTTCTCACCCAAGATTTGACGGTACATGGCCCCGTCCATCGTCCCTTTGATGCGGTGAAGTTGTCCTGTCCCCTTAGCAGAAAAACACCCCCAAAGCATAATGTTTCCACCTCCATGTTTGACGGTGGGGATGGTGTTCTTGGGGTCATAGGCAGCATTCCTCCTCCTCCAAACACGGCGAGTTGAGTTGATGCCAAAGAGCTCAATTTTGGTCTCATCTGACCACAACACTTTCACCCAGTTCTCCTCTGAATCATTCAGATGTTCATTGGCAAACTTCAGACGGCCCTGTATATGTGCTTTCTTGAGCAGGGGGACCTTGCGGGCGCTGCAGGATTTCAGTCCTTCACGGCTTAGTGTGTTACCAATTGTTTTCTTGGTGACTATGGTCCCAGCTGCCTTGAGATCATTGACAAGATCCTCCCGTGTAGTTCTGGGCTGATTCCTCACCGTTCTCATGATCATTGCAACTCCATGAGGTGAGATCTTGCATGGAGCCCCGGACCGAGGGAGATTGACAGTTCTTTTGTGTTTCTTCCATTTGCGAATAATCGCACCAACTGTTGTCACCTTCTCACCAAGCTGCTTGGCGATGGTCTTGTAGCCCATTCCAGCCTTGTGTAGGTCTACAATCTTGTCCCTGACATCCTTGGAGAGCTCTTTGGTCTTGGCCATGGAGAGTTTGGAACCTGATTGATTGATTGCTTCTGTGGACAGGTGTCTTTTATACAGGTAACAAGCTGAGATTAGGAGCACTCCCTTTAAGAGTGTGCTCCTAATCTCAGCTCGTTACCTGTATAAAAGACACCTGGGAGCCAGAAATCTTTCTGATTGAGAGGGGGTCAAATACTTATTTCCCTCATTAAAATACAAATCAATTTATAACATTTTTGACATGCGTTTTTCATTGTTATTCTGTCTCTCACTGTTCAAATAAACCTACCATTAAAATTATAGACTGATAATTTCTTTGTCAGTGGGCAAACATACAAAATCAGCAGGGGATCTAATACTTTTTTCCCCCACACTGTATACACACATACTGGTCCAGCTCTAGAAGCATCCTAGAGTATACTGTAGTGCCCAAACAGTTCCTCATTATTCCTAGCCATGTCTTTACATCAACCATTTCAATAAAATAATAAAACCATGTCCAATTCCAGTGAGCAGGGTTATATTCTTTCTTAAAATGTCTTGAAAAATGTCCAATGATTGTGCTAAAACTGAAATAAAGGCGAGATTGAAGAGTTGGAGTCGAAGTTGTACGCTATTGGCAGTGCCATTTGAAGGACCAGTACTGGAGACAGATGTACATTTATCCATGTTCTCTTGTAATCAGTTGGTCTTGAGCGTAAAATGAACAATTCACGAGCTACTCACCATGACAAATCGATCCTAAACTTTTTTTTAAAGTCTGATGCTGTAAGATTTTAATTTGTACATAGGGGAGCAAAGAATTCTACAAATTTGAGGTAGCCAACCTTCACGGTATATAACAACACAAATAAGAATGTTGAGCACACAAACCTGTCCATAACTTGAGCTGTATTTGTTTCAAACTAATGAATAACAAAAGTAGTAGTATGTGTCCATGATGAGTAACTTGTTAATTGGAAATGAGAGGATTAACAAAATAGCAAATCATAGCACTTGCATTTTTCCAATACAAGCACAATGAGCGTACAGACAAGTTGCTACAGTTGAAGTCGGAAGTTTACATACACTTAGGTTGGAGTCATTAAAACTTGTTATTCAACCAATCCACAAATGTCTTGTTAAACTATAGTTTTGGCAAGTCGGTTAGGACATCTACTAATTTGTCCAACAATTGTTTACAGACAAGATTATTTCACTTATAATTCACTGTACACAATTCCAGTGGATCAGAAGTTTACATACACTAAGTTGACTGTGCCTTTAAACAGCTTGGAAAATTCAAGAAAATGATGTCATGGCTTTAGAAGCTCTGATAGGCTAATTGACATCATTTGAGTCAATTGGAAGTGTACCCGTGGATGCATTTCAAGGCCTACCTTCAAACTCAGTGCCTCTTTGCTTGACATCATGGGAAAATCAAAAGAAATCAGCCAAGACCTCAGAAAAAAAATTGTAGACCTCCACAAGTCTGGTTCATCCTTGGGAACAATTTCCAAACGCCTGAAGGTACCACGTTCATCTGTACAAACAATACTACGCAAGTATAAACACCATGGGACCACGCAGCCATCATACCACTCAGGAAGGAGACGCGTTCTGTCTCCTAGAGATGAATGTACTTTGGTGCGAAAAGTGCAAATCCCAGAACAACAGGTACAAAAGTATCTATATCCACAGTAAAACGAGTCCTATATCGACATAACCTGAAAGGCCGCTCAGCAAGGAAGAAGCCACTGCTCCAAAACAGCCATAAAAAGGTCAGACTACGGTTTGCAACTGCATATGGGGACAAAGATCGTACTTTTGGAGAAATGTCCTCTGGTCTGATGAAACAAAAATAGAACTGTTTGGCCATAATGACCATTGTCATGTTTGGAGGAAAAAGGGGGTCCTTGCAAGCCGGAGAACACCATCCCAACCATGAAGCACGGGTGTGGCAGCATCATGCTGTGGGGGTGCTTTGCTGCAGGAGGGTCTGGTGCACTTCACAAAATAGATGGCATCATGAGGAAGGGAAATTATGTGGATATATTGAAGCAACATCTCAAGACATCAGTCAGGAAGTTAAAGCTTGGTCGTAAATGGGTCTTCCAAATGGACAATGACCCCAAGCATACTTCCAAAGTTGTGGCAAAATGGCTTAAGGACAACAAAGTCAAAGTATTGGAGTGGCCATCACAAAGCCCTGACCTCAATCCTATAGAAAATTTGTGGGCAGAACTGAAAAAGCGTGTGCGAGCAAGGAGTTCTACAAACCTGACTCAGTTACATCAGCTCTGTCAGGAGGAATGGGCCAAAATTCACCCAACTTATTGTGGGAAGCTTGTGGAAGGCTACCCGAAACGTTTGACCCAAGTTAAACAATTTAAAGGCAATGCTACCAAATACTAATTGAGTGTATGTAAACTTCTGACCCACTGGGAATGTGATGAAAGAAATAAAAGCTGAAATAAATCATTCTCTCTACTATTATTCTGACATTTCACATTCTTAAAATAAAGTGGTGATCCTAACTGACATAAAACAGGGAATTTTTACTAGGATTAAATGTCAGGAATTGTGAAAAACTGAGTTTAAATGTATTTGGCTAAGGTGTATGTAAACTTTCGACTTCAACTTTCCATGATATGATATACTCCACTCCATTAGATGTTCTCTACATGTTTCATACCAGGGAACTGGCAAGCGATGATCCTTGGAGAACCACTTTGATAAAAATATTCACTTGGTAACGGACAAAGTCCTTGTCAGCTAACTATCTGATGAACTGGTCAACAATTTATGACAGTTTTATTTCCTAGTGATTCAGGCACTGATAGAAAGTTGTTGCTTTTATTGTATGTGTCCCTATATGTTTTCTGTTCATTTTAACTGTGAAGACAATGTAGCCCTCTCACAAATAAAAACCCAATCACTATCACTCCAAACTAGATCTGCAAATTGCACTTGATTCAATGATGCACTGGATGACATGAAAATGTTGTCACTCCAACTAAGGCTTAATTAACACAAGAGAAGATTGTCAAATCAAAACTGGTCCCCCAGACAATGAGGACAAACAAACAAAAATGTGTGCTAATGCTAGGATTTTACTCTGGTTCCCCCGGCGATGAGGACTATCTCTCCACAGTCTCCGGTGCAGTGATCTCTACTGGTGGTGTTTCCTCAGATGGGGTGTCCATATCCATGACGGGGTTGACAAAGCACTCGTATTCAGAGTCCTCTGCATTCTCCTCAGCATTATCCTCGCCGTGCGCGCTCACAAAGTCGTTCTCCCACTCCAGGGCGTTGGATTCCTCCGAGGCGGAGGCCGGACCGCTGGTCGTCTGCTTCCCACCCGGCCGGAGTGCCGCTCGGAGTATGTCCTCCTCGGTTTTAGACCTCTCCCACACTGGGACCGCCTGGTTCATCCCTGAAGACAAGGACAATTTGATACACCGATACATGGAGTTAAACCTCACATGGCCATTCAACTGGTGGTTTTGGGAGGTTTGAAATCGACAATTACTGTTGTTGTACTGCACAGTACAAGTAGTACAAGTTCAGGGAATGTATTTTTTCACGTGACAAAACCTCCAAGGCGACAACAAGTAAAAGACAATAAGTAATTACACAAGCCCCACCTTCCTCGTCCTCCCACTCCAGGTCCAGTGAGGTTCCGTCATCGTTGGTGGAGCGGGTCTTGGTGTTGAAGTCCCAGCTGCTCTCCGTGTTGGGAGTGATCACATTAGTCTCAGAAGACAGCCCTGATTACACAAACACTGGGTTATCAAATCACAGGTGGTTTCAAAGAGCAAGAAGTCTCAATGAGGCATGACGATTAACTTTCAGGGATACAGAAAGTGTTTTATCTTAAAATAGAATGTTGGTATGCACAATTCGAGAGGAACTGTTTCAAACATGGAATATAATATATAGGCTACAGAAAATGGTGAAATAGCGGACTCACTGCTGCTCCTGAAGGCTTCCGACGTGACTTTCACATTCTGTAGGTAGACATCAAAGTCTTTAACTGAGCCATGCCTAGAACAGAATCCAACCAGTGGAGGAGAAACAGTCAACTCGACTCAATTTCATGGTCATACCATCACTGTGACACACATGGACCATGAGGTAGCCATTTTTACTTGGTTGATATACTCACTTTCTTGGATGGGCTGCGCCACTTTTGCCTTCTGCCTTGCCTTTTTTCCGTTGTGCAAGCTGTTGCTTTGAAAAATAATAATACCTCAGAAAAACACTTGGTCGAAAATGTAAATAATGATCACTTGAAGATTTGTTAGTTACATGCTGGCATTACCGGCTGTGTTAACATTAATTAAGGTGGCAGATAGGCAAACCCAGATGAAACAAATGGAATTAACCAAGGGAAAAACTGTGGAATGAATAATAAAAAAGCACAGCATTGAGAAACAACTCAAATATCAAAAGAATGGAAATTAATGGATACATAGGCTAATTTGAGGTTAAGGAATAGAGTGTGGACAAATGTCTCAATTCACATAAAAAAGGGAAAGGTAAATCCCTACTTCAAAGGACACTTGGGGTACGATTTACAAATTCATATTGAGAGACATACCATAGACTACAGTTCTTTAGATTGACAAAGGATGAACACCAACTTGTGGCATTATGTACTTGAAGTGGTTATCAAGAGTAGTGTTTTCACGATACCAGAACTATGGCTTCTTTACCAATACCAGGTTTAGTATCACGATACTCGATACAAAAATGATACCACGCCAAAAAAAGAAAGCGGGAGGACTGATTTTTCCCAGTGTTTTCAGGTTTTCACTCTAAAAGAATCAAACTTTTTTTAAATAGAAAAACAAAATTGGATGTTCTAAGTCCACAACAATGCTTAAACCACATCAGGGTACCAGTTTCGAGGTCTGGGAAAAATCTAAGACATTTTTATTTGAGTGTAGTTACCCTTTAATTTTTGTGCTCATGCAGTTGGCACGGTTGTTTGGTTAGCTGTGTTTCTGTAGCTCACGTGATGGAGTTTGCAAACCAAGCGGATTGATGCAAATCATCATGATTCTGCCAGGTAAGCTACTTTGTAGTTAACGTTTAATTAAGAAGGTTTTTGGGAAAGCCTTTCCATCTACACGAAGACGCTTATCATTAGCATCACTAACGGATACACAAAGTGGTAGCCATATGCACACCCCGCGTGCACACACAGACAGGGGCATTCTCATTGCCTCTTCAGAAAGTTCCAGGGAATATGAATCACTGATTCTGTTCATGTCTTATGATAAACTTCGGCTAATTAAATACTTTTCTAATAAATGCAATACATTTAGCTGATTTCCAAACGTGAGACACATAGAACGACCAACCGAAAATAACACAATTCTAGTACCGTACCGTTTGATATGTTGTAGTATGGAAAAAGTACAGAAGTTTTGGTGTACCGTGTAACACTAATCAAAAGAAGCAGGGGTAGAGCCAAGGAAAAGGTGGGTGAGGCGGAACAAGGTAGTGAAGGGACGACAGGCGCACTCAATAATGGCCGCCTCACCTCCTTTAGCTTTCTCTCGCATGCCAGCCTGGCGGCCTCACGCTGGGCAGCATTTCTAGCCTCCTCTTCTAGCCTTAACTTCTCCTCTTGTGCTAATAACTGAGCAGAAATGACAAGACAAAGAACCCAAAGTTGAGAACAGAAAACCAAAATTGCAAAACAATTCTGAAAATCAACCAAAATTTACAAAAAGGCTGCTATGAGCACGTAGGCTAAGCATAAACGTATCTTAGATACTGTATCTTGCTACATGAAAGGTAGTACAAAGTTTATAAACAAGGAAGTGTAATGACTCTGTTGAATTGAACCTTCCATTATCTGTAAGCAAAAAAAAAAGGTATGTAGATTTCTCCAGTCCTTTCAGCGGCTCTGTTTTTGTGTAAGCCTACCTCTGCTTGCAACTTCTTGTCTATCAAGGTCTGCTGATCGGAAATTGCAGCATACCGGTGCTCTTTGAGGTGGATGATCTCATCTTCACTGATAGGCCTAGTATCAAAATGAAACAAACATTACCGCAAGCTCATCTTGGTTTAAGCCCTGATTAACATTATTCTTCTGAAATGCATTCGTCAGTCCCCCGAAAGTTAAAAAACATACCTGGGACAGCTTTGTGGGCTCTCCGCCTGAAATTAAAATAAGTGGGCAAAGAATCATACAGAATAGGACCACAATCATCGTGTCTTCTGTGCATCTTCAGCCAATGGCACACTTTCGGATTGTTTCAATCGAACAAATATGGTTTACATGTTCACACACTTACCTCATCGCTCTCAACAAGGTTTTCAAACTGTGGGGAGACAGAACTGCACTGTAAGTACATCATGTTTTCCCAACCAAGTGATGCATGATGAAACATGACATAGGCCTACTTCCAGAAAAATGTAAGTACCATACCTCTATTGTGTAATGTTCCCCAGTAGTACTGCTTCTAAAGTATTTTGACCTGTACGGACAGATATTTGACAATATTGACATCCATTTAGGCTGCTTTCGGTCACTGTCATGATTGTCCTTAGCTAGTTCTTTCAACAGAAGAGACGGGCAATTGATGCCGACTCAGATTTTTGCCAAACAAAAACCAATGACTGAAAATCTTACAAAAACACATTTACTTAAACAGTGCAGATGCAACGTTTGCAAAGTCATTCCACCTCAAAAAGCACAAGAAAGAGGATTGACACCCACTATCTCAGATTGTTCTGAAATCGTTTCTGTAGATAGAAACAGATAAGATTAGCATTCCTGAAACATTAATTTGTTGAAATATAATTTGATCTCTGAGAAATGAAGCTATTTGTTTGCACGCAAATTGGCCATTTGAATGAATAGGACTCATATAATCTTCAATACATATAGTACCTTACATCCGATTTGGACCATCATTCTTCATAACAATGAGTAAGACATGAGAAATTATCAAAACCCACCCACAATCCCACCCCAAACAACCAGTATACAGTATCAGTTCTATGTCTGACAAGTACAAGTAGCATGGAGCTGCTGCTTGGAGTATTGCTTCTTGTGTTTAATGGTAAATGTCACTTATCACGTTATTGAAAACATCTGACTGCCATGAATGGTTTATAATTGTATTATTTTATTAGGGTTGTCACAACATTTTAGTCACTAGACAATTTCTCCATCAAAGTTCTGAGCTTGTAGGAAATGTTTTCATATCAGAATTGCATGACTGGGATAGCCCTCTCAGAGAGCTGCCATTTGTTGGACTATTCAAGGAGAGTTGAGTTGAAGCATTAGGTTGCTAAGAGAAGGACAAACTGAAATGCTTTCATCGAGGACTGGCTTGACCACACAATTTATTTTCATCATGAGCAAAAGCTGTTAGTTTTCTACCCAAAGTTCCAAAGAAAAGGAGACCTAAAAAATACAACAGACCAGCAAAATCGATAAAAGGGTGTTGGCACTAGCAGGACAGCGGCATCGTGTTGGCAAAACCTGGTACTATCACACCAATTTATGTTAAATATTGCAAGCGAATTCAATGGCTAATTTCGCTGAACGGGGGGGACAAAATCACCTGACTCACAGGGATTACATTACAAAGATGAAGCAATACTCCAAGCTGCAGCTCCATACTACTTGTCAGACATAACTGATCATGTATACTGTTTTTTGGGTTGTGGGGGGTCCTTGGGTGACTTTTGACCATTTTATTGGTTCCTCATGTCTTACTCAATGGTAGGAAGAAGTTTGGTCCAAATCGGATGTTGGGTACTATATGTTCAATATTGTGTGAATCCTATCAATTAAAAAAGGTCCAATTTGGGTGCAATTAATTAGCTTAATTTCTCAGATCAAATTATAGTTCAACAAAATAATGTTTCAGGAATGCTAATATCGGTTTCTTAACTACATAAACAATTTCTGAACAATCTTAGATGGTGGGTGTCATCGCTTGCTGAAATGACATGGAATGACTGTTTGTGCCGTCATTCTGTTACCAAACTGTGCATCTGCACTGTTCAAGTAAATGTGTTTTTGTAAAATGTTCAGTGGAAATTGTTATGTTGTCCTTGTGCATAGAGTTGTATGGTTTGTTTAACTTTGCAGTCATTGGTTTTTGTTTGGCATACATTTTAATGTGAAAAATCTGAGTCTCAGCATAATTCTGTTACCATGGAATTGTTCAGATACAGCCTGGCATCACAACTGTAACGTTATAGGCCTAACTGATATCAATAACATCAAGCCTACAGAAATGTCATTTTTCTGTACGGAAGCTGAATGCAATGAGTCTGTCAACAAAATGTTTTTCCATATTAGCTCATTGTAATTTAATACAGCATCAAATATTTAAAATGCATCATGCCCTCCCAAATACATGCCCTACAAAGCCGTGTGTCAGTATGGCAAGACCCACATGAAGGGGTGGGGTGGGTAACGCTTCAACTTGCTGCGGGAAAACCTAGTTAGTTAGCAGGGAAAGGTAACGTTTTTTGACAAGCGACTCTGGCTCGTCACTATTATGCCGCGTTCAAAACAACTGTGAACTCGAAAATCCGAGGTACTATCATAACGTCAGTGATATTTGGGTCGGGAAGTCAGGCCTCTTTCGATTTGGAATTCCGAGTTGGATGTCCGTTCAAATCGATTTTTTTCCCAGTCGGAACGCGTTTTCCAAATTCCCAGTTGTTTTGAACACACATGTTGGAAGTCAGAGATTTTCGAGTTCCCAGTTGTTTTGAACGCGGAATAAGCTTTGGGCACCGTGGAGGTTTTTTGACGTTGCATTCGTTGGTTTAAAGGGCGTATCACTTACCCGCCTCCTCGTTGTATCCTGTTCGCTTCTCTTCTGAAGATTCCAGAACAATAAGCCCAGCAGTTTCCCATCGCATTCTGTCAAAATGTACCTTCCTTGGGTTGGGTGCTAACAAGCTACTAGTGTACTGGATATTCTCACAAATTAGATGGATAGCTAGCACAGGTGTACGCTCTTCGACCCGTCGCCGCTAGGCACAGGCATTAGTTAGTAGCTAGCGCTTACAATTACAGGGTGACATGACACCCAATGCACGACAGCTTGTTCTTTATGAGCGATCAAAGTATGGACTTTAAAGACGAATTGTATATTTATATGTACAGAAGCTTGTTGCAACATCAATATTGATCAGGAAAATGTGGCTAGATGGCAACAGCTGTGGCTTTCAAAATTCTCACTTCCTTTTCCTTGCACGTGACTCATGTTTATTTAGCTACGGAGACTCATCTGGCTCAAACGACGTGGGCATGCATCAAGTGAAAAAACACAATAGCCATGTTCGAGAGCGTCAAAAATATTATGCATTGTGGGTAAATGGTGACTGATCTACAAATAATAATGAGTAGTTATTTATGTTCCAAGGTGATATGTAGATCAGTCAGTCGGCAGTCGCCTGCACAAGCCCATTGTTTTGAGAAATCAACTTTTGGGGGGCTTTTTACATCGTTTTTAGTTTTTACCAGTGGTGTAAAGTCCTTCAGTAAAAATACTTTAAAGTACTACTTAAGTAGTTTTTTTGGGTATCTGTACTTTACTTTACTATTTATATTTTTGACTACTTTTACTTTTCTACATTCCTAAAGAAAATATTGTACTTTTTACTCCATACATTTCCCCGACAACCAAAAGTACTCATTACATTTTGAATGCTTAGCAGGACAGGAAAATGGTCAAATTCAAGCACTTATCAAGAGAACACATGGTCAATCCTACTGCCTCTGGCCTGATGGACTCACTAAACACAAATGCATCTTTTGTAAATAATGTCTGAGTGTTGGTGTGCCCCTGGCCATCCATACATTTCAAAAACAATATCATTGTGCTGTCTGCTTTGCTTAATATAAAGAATGTTAAGTGATTTATACTTTTACTTTTGATACTGAAGTATATTTTAGCAATTGCAGTTACTTTTGATACTTAAGTATATTTAAAACCAAATTATTTTAGACTTTTACTCAAGTAGTATTTTACTGGCTGACTTTCACTTTTACTTGTGTAACTTTCTATTAAGGTAGCTATACTTTTACTGAAGTATGACAATTGGGTACTTTTTCCACCACTGGTTTTTACATAGGAGGCATATCATAGCTTGTACAACATTAAAGTAGCCCACATGTATTTTATAACAGTGTGTTTTGCCATTGACAAATGGCTCCCTCTGCGCAATTTTGGCAGGTCGCGTAGAATGGCATTCTTACCAGCAACTATGGATTTCAACACTCAATAACTACGTTTCCATGAACTTGTCCAATAATTTTTTGTAGACAGTTAGAAATTTGCATTGGAAAAAATGAGAATTGCCTGCTATGGTGCATTTCCATTGAACTGTCTTGTGTCGATAAAAACAGCTGGAAAAGTTTTGAAAAAACCTAGTCGCGAATAAAAATGAAACGTATAATTATTTTGATGAACATTTTTGGGAAACGTGTCATTCTGTAACTACAAAACGTTCCGCAACGAGGCAAATGTTCAAGCGAACTGAACGCACTCAGGTAACTTAGCCCTTGTGTGATTTTTAAATGGCGGTTGGGAACCAAAAAGGTTCATTACAGCTACCAACTGGACTGGAGTGTAAATACATTACACTTTTTTGTGATACAAAAAGTGTACAAGAAAGAAAATGACCCTGCCAACTAACCCTACACTCATTAAAATAACATAAAAACACCAGCACATTCCACTACTTTGACACTATCTGATCCTACACCAGGCCGACAGCCTGGGCGGACAGGACACCAACATTGAACACACCCTGTAACTCTAATGCAGTAAAATCTCGTAAACCCAAGTACTTCTCTGCAGCTGCCACCGCAACACCTATTTTCTGTGATTTTACATTCCACTTCTGCGGTACAGTTGATAACCATGGCAATGAACGCTAAAAAGCCAACCTTACTGAAGCACATTTCATTACTGAGACTTTGTTTTTTATAAAAGTAAGAGACTGAATAATTGATTATTTTGTAGGTTCTGTGCAGACAGTTTTTTTGTGTCCCCCTTTTGATTCCACGGCACCAGCTACAAACTACTTCACCATCTTCAGAGGCTCATCTATACTACCTGTCAAAAGTTTTAGAACACCTACTAATTCAAGGGTTTTCTTTATTTGTACTATTTTCTACATTGTAGAATAATAGTGATCACATCAAAACTATGAAATAACACATATACAATCATGTAGTAACCAAAAGAGTGATAAACAAATCAAAATATATTTTATGTTTGAGATTCTTCAAATAGCCACCCTTTGCCTTGAGGACAGCCTTTACCTTGTAGTCCCATGTAGCTCAGTTGGTAGAGCATGGCATTTGCAACGCCAGGGTTGTGGGTTTGATTCCCATGGGGGGCCAGTATGAAAAAAAAAATGTATGTACTCACTAACTAACTTTAAGTCGCTCTGGATCAGAGCGTCTGCTAAACGACTAAAATGTAAAATGTAAATGACAGCTTTGCACACTCTTGGCATTCTCTCAACCATCTTCATGAAGTAGTCACCTGGAATGCATTTCAATTAACAGATGTGCCTTCTTAAAAGTTAATTTGTGTTATTTCTTAATGCGTTTGAGCCAATCAGTTGTGTTGTGACAAGGTAGGGGTGGTATACAGAAGATAGCCCTATTTGGTAAAAGACCAAGTCCATATTATGGCAAGTACAGCTCAAATAAGCAAAGAGAAACAACAGTCCATCATTACTTTAAGACATGAAGGTCAGTCAATACAGAACATTTCAATAACTTTTAAAGTTTCTTCAAGTGCTGTCGCAAAAACCATCAAGCGCTATGATGAAACTGGCTCTCATGAGGACCGCCACAGGAATAGAAGACCCAGAGTTACCTCTGCTGCAGAGGATAAGTTCATTAAAGTTACCAGCCTCAGAAATTGCAGCCCAAATAAATGCTTCACAGAGTTTAAGTAACAGACACATCTCAACATCAAGTGTTCAGAGGAGACTGTGTGAATCAGGCCTTCATGGTCGAATTGCTGCAAAGAAACCACTACTAAAGGACACCAATAAGAAGAAGAGACTTGCTTGGGCCAAGAAACACGAGCAATGGACATTAGACCGGTGGAAATTTGTCCTTTGGTCTGGCGTCGTGAGGGAGCGAATCGCATCTCTGCATGTCTGGCAGACATATCAGTGTGGATGACATATCAGTGTGGATGACGGATCACCACCTCAAGCTGAACCTTGGCAAGACGGAGCTGCTCTTCCTCCCGGGGAAGGACTGCCTGCTCCATGATCTCGCCATCAGGGTTGACAACTCCGTTGTGTCCTCCTCCCAGTAGGTTCATGCTCTACAACATTCGCAGAGTACGACCCTACCTTACACAGGAAGCGGCACAGGTCCTAATCCAGGCACTTGTCATCTCCCGTCTGGATTACTGCAACTCGCTGTTGGCTGGGCTCCCTGCCTGTGCCATTAAACCCCTACAACTCATCCAGAATGCAGCAGCCCGTCTGGTTTTCAACCTTCCCAAGTTCTCTCACGTCACCCCGCTCCTCCGCACACTCCACTGGCTTCCAGTTGAAGCTCGCATCTGCTACAAGACCATGGTGCTTGCCTACGGAGCTGTGAGGGGAACGGCACCTCCATACCTTCAGGCTCTAATCAGTCCCTACACCCAAACGAGGGCATTGCGTTCATCCACCTCTGGCCTGCTGGCCCCCCTACCTCTGCGGAAGCACAGTTCCCGCTCAGCCCAGTCAAAACTGTTCGCTGCTCTGGCACCCCAATGGTGGAACAAGCTCCCTCACGACGCCAGGACAGCGGAGTCACTCACCACCTTCCGGAGACACTTGAAACCCCACCTCTTTAAGGAATACCTGGGATAGGATTACATTTACATTTTAGTCATTTAGCAGACGCTCTTATCCAGAGCGACTTACAAGAGCAATTAGGGTTAAGTGCCTTGCTCAAGGATAAAAGTAATCCTTCTACCCCCCCCCCCCCCCCCCCCCCCCCCCCAAAAATAAAAAAAATGTTTTATATATATATATATATATATTGTAAAGTGGTTGTCCCACTGGCTATCATAAGGTGAATGCACCAATTTGTAAGTCGCTCTGAAAATGTAAATGTAAAAATGAGTCCAAATTGGAGACTTTTGGTTCCAACCGCCGTGTCTTTGTGAGACACGGTGTGGGTGAACGGATGATCTCCGCATGTGTATTTCCCACCGTAAAGCATGGAGGAGGAGGTGTGATGGTGTGGGGGTGCTTAGCTGGTGACACTGTCTGTGATTTATTTAGAATTCAAGGCACACTTAACCAGCATGGCTACCACAGTATTCTGCAGCGATAAGCCATCCCATTTTACCAAGAAGGCGAGTGATGGAATGCAGCATCAGATGACCTGGCCTCCACAATCCCCCGACCTCAACCCAATTGAGATGGTTTCGGATGAGTCGGACTGCAGAGTGAAGGAAAAGCAGCCAAAAGTGCTCAGCATATGTGGGAACTCCTTCAAGACTGTTGGAAAAGCATTCCAGGTGAAGCTGGTTGAGAGAATGCTAAGAGTGTGCAAAGCTGACATCAAGGCAAAGGGTGGCTATTTGAAGAATCTCAAATACAAAATATATTTTGATTTGTTTAACACGGTTTTGGTTACTACATGATTCTATATGTGTTATTTCATAGTTTTGATGTCTTCACTATTATTCTACAATGTAGAAAATAGTACAAATAAAGACAAACCCTTGAATGAGTAGGTGTTCTAAAACTTTTGACCGGTAGTGTACAGCTTCTACAATCATCATCATCGCCTGGACTGATGATGATTGTAGAAGCTGTAGATGAGCCTCTGAAGATGGCGAAGAAGTTTGTAGAAGTCATTTGACTGGTACATTGTGGTAGGAACTGGACTGATAATTTAGTGCACCATTTTGTATTTATTGGGGACACAGTTTCTTATTTGTTTTGATTACTGTATTGGACAAAATTGTATTGATGTGAATGAATGTTCATTGCGGTTGTAATACTCGGTTGTTGTGAATTGATTGAAACAAAGAGAGAAAACAAACCATTTCCACAATAGATAAACGTCCATTTCAAACGTATATCACAGAGTCCTTGCAGTATCCTTCCTTGAATGTTTTTCCTTGCCTTATTAGAAGACATTGCTTTAGATACCAGTCTTCTTTTCAAACCTAAATAGACTGTTATTTTTTTTATTTTTTTTTATTTTTTTCGGG